TGGCAACGAGGAGGGGAGCAGGTGCGGGGTGAGGCTGGGGCGGTGGTGTCCGCCTTCATTGCCCTTCCTTTTCAACTCTCAGGTGGGGTCCAACTACGTGACTCTGGCCACGTGTGTCTCCACCTAGAAATGGTGCCCACCACTGACCAGCCCATGCTAGAGTATGATACTTTGTGTGGCGCTGCCCCTGCTATCCAAGCAACAGCCTCCACAATCACAAGCTGGGGAGGCCCTCTGATTCCTGGGTCTGCATCGGGCAAGCAGCCTCATTTCATGCCTGAGGCACAGATCCTCCCTGGCTTGTAGATGGGTGCTCAGTTCTCTGTGGGATCTCCTTTAGACACACATTAGTGTGTACACGTTTAGATGTTTGTCCACGTATTTGAAAAGTCATGTTTGGGCTAAAATATGTTTCTTTTGGGAAGAAAGGGAAAGCAGCTTGAACAAAATCCAAGAGGCTCCCCCAGATTTCATTTCAAGTTTGTAACTACCTTGTAACCACTCTCCCTCTTAGGGCCAGTTTCTTCCACCAGACGTTGGGGAACGACAAGCTGGTTTCACAGGATCCTGCACACTGGACTTAATGTGAAACAGTCAGCCTATAGTAAGGAGAAATAAAGCAGGTGGCTCCTTTAGAAAGGATGCTGAAAAGCAGTTTCATATTTTTCCCTTTATGGATTTTTGCTTTAGATTTTGTAGAATTGTTTCTTGGGTTAAATGTGATATCGTGAAAACCGCCATTCCTGTGCGTGTAAATATGATTGACAGGTTGATGGGAAACTCCCTAGCTCTCCACTAGCTGTTGTTTTTTCACATTGCAGTAGAAAGGGGCAAATGTAGCCAGTTGTATGTAAAAAGAGAAAACAAGACCCTCAGTGCCTGCAAAGGGGCTGGAAACCAGTGATGTGCCCAGAACACAGGTGGAATGGGAGATTGAGAGGAGAAAAACAGGATGCTAAATAATCTCTACTTTGGGTATTTGGATTCATAAAAGATGCTTGATTTTGGAGAAGAAAGAAACCCTGGAAGATCAAATGTCCTAACTCTTTGAGAGCTTTGGGTGATGTAGACAAGGCAGAAATGATTTTTTGACGCCAAGAGCCAGATCTTGTAAATGGGTCGCAGAGCACTTTCATACAGATGCCTTATTGTGAGGCATTCCACAGATGGGGGAAGCAAGGTCAAGAGATGTAGCTGGTCAAACTATGCTTTTAATCCTAACTCACTTGTCTCTAACTGTGGGGCCCTGCCATGGCACCAAATTCAATCCAAATATTTGCAAACACATTAGAAAAAACATTACTTGGGGCGCCTGGGTGACTCAGTTGGTTGAGCGTTTGGTTCTTGATTTTGGCTCAGGTCATGATCTTGGGGTTGTGGGACTGAGCCCCATGTCGGGCTCTGTGCTCAGTGGGGAGTCTGCTTGAGATTCTCTCTCTCCTTCTTCCTCTGCTCCTCCTCCTGCTCTCTGTCTCTCTCAAATAAATAAATAAATATTAAAAAAAAAAAAGAAAACATTACTTGACCACGATGTCATCATGGGACCAGGGACATTGTCTTTGCCTTCTCTCCACTGTGCTCTTTGACTGCCCTCCCCGCCCCCCTGCCCCGTCTCCAGGGTGGGGGATAGGGAATGACACACAGGTCATCCATTCTTTAAATTTGGTACTCCTAATTGTGCATTTGTGATGATATGGTGATAAATGGGTCAAGGTGCTGGTGTACCCTCTGTTCTTATTGTGCTCAAGTGCACACCAATCTTTTCAATGCTAAAGGCGGCTCCTCCTAGCTGGAATGCGAAGCAGGGCCTGAGCATGGGCAGGGTAAAAAATGCAGACTTGAAGCTTTACGGCCTCATGTTCATTTCCCACTTCTGCCATCTTCTGTCCATGGGAGCTTGGGCACCTTACTTTGTCTCCGTATCTGAGCCTCAGTTTCCACTTTTGTAAAAACAAAGCTAATACACATTTCCTTGTATTGTTGTGAAGATTAAACTGGAGGGTCTATGTGCAGTCCAATAAATGGCAGCTGTTTTTATTTCTGGGCACTGTCCTTGGAGAACTACATGCTGCATTAACTGTTTGGAATACAATGAGAGGGAATCTTGGGCTATTCATTTTACAGAGCTGGTCATATACAGGTAAACAGTCCTGCTACTACCACCACTTACATCATTAATCTGTCTGTAGGTTACATAATACATAATACAGTGGAACGGAATTAAATTATTCTATGGCTATAAGTTCCAACTAAATGTGATACATTTTTATCAGATGAATGAAGGGTTATGTGAGATTTTGCAAGAAAAGAGCTTATCCTTAGGAAGAATTGAATAATTGGTAGTGATATTATGGTTGTTAACTAAAGTATTACAATGGTATCTGCCTCATGCTTTTATAGTACTTTAAGGCTTACTTCTTTGCTCGAGGGTGGTACAACCCTGAGATCTAGGTCAAAATTAAACTCTCTGCAACCTTCCATTTCTGTTTTTAGGCATTTCGCCCAGGTCTTCTGCTTCAAGTCTCTCTTCCCTATGCCCCTTGTCATGCTCAAGAAAATGTTTTCAGCAGTTGTTCTTGATGGCCAAGTCTCCTATGGGTGCTAGGTCTTGGGTGGTTAATATTATCTCTTTCTGCTTCCTCAAGAGCCCCACAAATGTCCACCAGCCACCCACTGGACTCCTCTCTGGCTGCTCCATCTTCTTATATTTCAGCCTTTAGTTTTGGAGTGTCTTTTAACCTTTTCCTTCTGGCAATCTTCCTGTCCATCCCTTACTTTAGTCAGCCAAATATTTTATTTTATTTTATTTTTGAGAGAGAGAGTGCATGTGGTGGGCAGGGGAGGGGCAGAGGGAGAGAGAGACTCTTAAGCAGGCTCCACATCCAGCATGGAGCCCGACGCTGGGTTCTCGATCTCAGGACCTTGAGATCATGACCTGAGCTGAAATCAAGAGTCAGCCTGGGGGCAGAGGAATAGTAAGAGGTAAGTCAGGCAAGGTGAGGGATATAGGAGGGCATGGGTGTCAGGCTGTCATGTCTGCACCTAATTAAGCTGTGAATGGGGGAACCATGGGAAGGTTTGGGTTTTAAAATGTCTAGGGAGATAAGAACTAGGAACTGGAAGCTGGTGATTGGAAGGTTCTACCCCACCGTCTGCCACAGTCAAAGGAGTAAACACTCTAAAGAGAGGAAGGATGGAAAGCAGACTGAGAAAGACTAGGAGTGAGAAGGGGTAGTACAATTTATGCTTCTAGTTTGGTTGTCAGTGACCCAGGGAGAGACAGAATTTGACAATGATCAGAATCATGAGATTTTCTAGGAAGGAGAACATAAGCCTAAGTGAGGAGGAGAGATGAAAGAGGCAAGAAGGACAGGGGCTGATCGGCGGGGATGACCAGACTGGATGGCGTGGGGTCCCATGTGTGGAAAGAAACAGAATGAGTGAGAGACTGGTAATGTGTGGTGGGGCCCTGGGCGAAGGTTATTGGGTACGAAGTCATGGAATGTCAGCCCTTAACTTTGAGTATGACGTCAATCCTTTTCCTTCACTTAATAGTTAAAATGAGGTGGGGCTAACAGCTCAACCACCCGTGTTTGCACCTTCTGCCTTCTGACCTCTCCCCTCACACCGGAGCACAATCCCTCCTCCGTGGCTGTCTTCCCTGAGGCCAGGTCCCACCTGCTGTGTTTCCCTGAGCAGGTCTCAGTCAGTGGTCCTGCTGGGCCTGCAATACAAGTGGCTTCCAGGGGCGCCTGAGTAGCTCAGGCAGTTAAGTGTCTGCTTTCCGCTCAGGTCATGATCTCGGGGTCCTGGGATCCAGCCCTGCATCCAACTGGCTCCCTGCTCAGCGGGGAGTCTGCTTCTCCCTCTCCCACTCCCCCTGCTTGTACTGTCTCTTTCTCTCTCTGTCAAATAAATAAATAAAATCTTAAAAAAAAACAACAACCAAAAAACAAGTGGCTTCCAAAAATGCAGTAATTACCCCGATTCTACTCTGTCACCCATATTCTGTTTCTTTCCAGAAGTGAAGATATATTGGTTGAATTGCTTTTCGTAATTCAATTTCAAGTGCTGCACAGGCTCTTAACAGCGTCGTGCAAATTTATTTCCACCTACCTGCTCACAAGGTGCTTGTTTCAGAGCGGCAAACCTAACACTATTCCCTTCCTCAACAAACTCATATCTTGGCCACTCCTCAGGGCCACTGATTAGACTGGTTTTTTATTTTCTTTTTGCCCATCCTCTTTCTTTAAATACAAGTAGCTTCCAGAATATCTGGAATGCAAAGTTCCTATGTGCATGTTTGAAATAATAATCTGTATTAAAAGCAGGGGTTTAACGTACTTCCATCTTCAGGGGTGAAATTATGTCACATTTATAATTATATTTATATTGTGAGATTATTATAACTTTATAATAGTCTGGTATACATTGTTTTTTTAGGAGTGCATACTAGAACTTCTCAATGCAAAGCAAGAAAAAGGATAGTTATAATTGAATGGCAATATATATTTTCTGGCACCTACAGAGGCTCCAACCTTTCAAAGAAACATTGAATTGAATTGAAAATGAAAGGAAATGAGCTCTCAATCAACGTTTTTGGCTAGAAAAAAATATTTGCCACCCTACTTCCTTCCTCCCATGTATGTGCAGGCAAGAGCAAGTCACATGCACATACATAACACACACGATTTTCTCCTTTGAGGAACATTAGTCCATTCTAGTATCCTGAGCAGAGCATGCATGCCCTAACAATAGATACCCCCCTTTTTTTAATGCCCCCATACTTCCTTTGATTTGAGTATGAATTCCCTGATGTTCTCCCGTATGACTAGAGCCCTCTTTGTCACGGGGCCAACTTCTCTTATTCACACCTTTTATTCTGAGCCAACGCTGTGAGGGTCACACTGCGGGGAGCGCTGCTCAGTCCCTGGTACTGCAGGGAGCGCGGTCCATCCCCTCCCCGGCCCTCACCTGCTCGGTCCCCCCGCCCGGCCTACCTGGAAGGCCCAGGATGGTGAAGTAGGGCCGGCACTCTGTGAACCCTGAGCTCTGCCTCACGCAGCTCCGCCAGAGTCCCTCGTACTGGAACACGGAGGTGACGGGGTTGTCGTACAGGTCCTGAGTGCTCCACATGTCCATCCCCGTGGCGGCGATGCAGCCCGCCAGGCCCAGGAGGGACAGGAGGAAGCCCACCACTTGGCACGTGGTGGTGGACATGGCCTTAGCCCGCGCGCCCTCTGACCGCGGGCTCAGGACCCGCTGTGCCTTCCTCCTGTGCCGGGTGTGGGTGGGCGGGCTGTGCTCCTGAGCCTGGCTGCCCTAATCAGATGGTTTCCCTCAGCTCTTGGTGTTTGCTCACAGTGTTTTCCTTAGATAGTTCAGTTTCACTCTTGGTTCAAGGGCATTATTTTTTCATTTGTTAGGGTAGCCGCCCCAAGAGGCACTTGTCCTACCGAGCTGCGCAGGCCCAGCTGGTTTGAGAGCAGAGCAGTCCAAATGGATACCCTGCCCAAAGGCCGAGCAGCCTCTCCCGGGGCCCTGGCTCTGGCTCTGCCCCCTGAGCTCGCCTGTCACCACCTGGGGAGAAAGCTGACCAGTCCAGCGCCCCAACAAGCTTTTTCCTTTAGGCTCTGCTCATCACAGGAGGCCCCAGGAGTCTGCGTCTTAAACCAGACTCCATATTTTCTCCTCACAACTCATAAACTACTTTTCATGTACATCTTTCCATTTTGCCCTTACAGAAATGGGTAGAGTAGCTTTCATTATCCCACACCCATACGTATTTTGAGGCAAGTGAGGTAGATTAAGGAACTTGTCCAAAGTGCCTTGAACCACAGATGCATTCAAGTCAGCAAAGATGGACCTCCAGTCCCCACTTTTGGTCTGGTGCTCTTTCTCTATTTCCATGTGGAGTGGGAGAGGTAGGCAAGGTGGCCCCACCTTTGAGAACGGGAAGTCAAATTCTAGAGATTTGCTTTTGTTTTACAGGTATTGAAAATAGGAGAGGAAGTGAGACATCCTGCTGACCTCCATGTCACCCTTTCACTCACACCATGAGAACCACATGGAGACCACATGGCAGACACAGAAGGTTCTAAAAAGGCCAGAGAAGGGCTCAGGGCTGGCTGGGCCCAAGCCCCTGTTCTGGTTACTGAGAGCCCTGGGATCTGCTCCTGACACGGTCACTAACACGCTGTACGCTAGATGATTTTGGGCAAACTGATCAGCCCCTGCAGGTCACGGTTTCTTCATCTGTAACATTTGCATACTAAAGTAGAGTACTTCATCACCCTTTCAGATCTCATACACTGTCTTCCACATTTTGCAGAAAAGTTTTCACTACAGTTGGTCAAAATATCAGGAATTATATAATCACAAAAAAGAGAGACCTGACCAGAAATTAGCCGTTGCATTTTGCTTACCCAGTTCGATTTTGTAAGAGAATTGATTGACCCGCCACTTCCTGGGGGTCCTGTGTGTCTTGCCTCTGAATTCAGAACCTTTTTTTTTTTTTTTTTTTTTAAGGTCGGTTCCACGCCCGGCATGGAGCCTAAGATGGGGCTTGAACTCATGACCCTGAGATCAAAACCTGAGCTGAAATCAAGAGTCGGACACTTAACTGACCGAGCCACCCAGACACCCCCAGAACCATTTTAATTATAGCTTCCCCAACTCTGGATCTCCAGGCCTGGAAACACACCCAACATACCAATCTCTAACCTGTACAGGTTCTCCAGGAAACAAACCTTTGCATCTGGACATTTCAGTGTTATCTTGAGTGCACCCAGCCACTGCTCCCATTCCTTTTTTTCCCAGCAAACACAGAAAGCAAATATGGAAGGTCTCCCCCTAGTTTGAATGGACACCACACTCCCCTGAGGTGCTTATCTTGCTTTAGGTTCTGTGATCCGTGTAGAGAGTGAATCATGAGCCAGAAAACTCAAAAAAAAAAAAAAAAAAAAGAGAGTAAGCAGGAGTTATATCACTTTCGTTGAAACAGCGTTGGTGTCTGTTTTCCCTGAACTGAGTTACAAGGCCAAGTCTAAAAGGTGAGGAGGGAGCAACTAGAAGAAGTGACTGTGGTCTCTGCTGCTGGATGGGGATTGACCAATTAGATTGGAAAATATTGGAAGGGTTCAAGAATGACTCTGCCACTGTTTCTGTGGACACAGTCATTTTGCTCTTGTTTCAACCAAGATTTGGGGTTTTTATTTATAAAGAGTTTGGTTTCCAGTTGTTCGTTTTATGACATTTGTCTAACACCCACCCCATACCTATAATACCACTGAAATAGTAGATGGAAAATGGAAAAAATAAAAGAAATAGGTTATTACAAGTTATCTATTCTCACTCATGGCAGTTTCCCCTCCCCCTCCCCTATGCAAATGTTTTATGCAAAATTTCAAGACCAGGGAAAAACAGTTATTCAGGTAATAATGAATTAGCTTTCTTTCTTGTTTGAAGTGACAGTGACTTTATTTTTTGGGAGAAGGAAAAGTTAATTTTATTTAATTTAATTTATTTATATTTTAAAGATTTTACTTATTTATTTGACAGAGAGAGACACAGCGAGAGAGGGAACACAAGCAGGGAGAGTGGGAGAGGGAGAAGCAGGCCTCCCGCGGAGCAGGGAGCCCGATGTGGGGCTCGATCCTAGGACCCTGGGATCATGACCTGAGCCGAAGGCAGACGCTTAACGACTGAGCCACCCAGGTGCCCCGGAAAAGTTAATTTTAAAGGATAAACTAAAGCTACCTCTACCTAGGAGAATACTGAATGAATAGAGAGAAAATGTAAGTCTACACATTTGTTAAAAAATTTAAGTCTACCTACTTTTTAAATGTGAAATAGATATTGATAGGTTTTAAAACAACTGGAAGATGGAATCTGTCACTTCCTAGTGGGTTTTCTGTGCTATAAAATAAACGGACCACTGCTTCAAGGGTCACTGCCAAAGAGTGAATGGGGGTCCACAGAGGAAAATCTGGCTTCCATGTTCCTGCCAAGAGGGGCATTTGTCCAAACCCGATTAGCCCAAGACAGGGTTGGCTCTCAGTTATGGGCCTAGTGAAATGATTTTATCTAGGAAGGCTGACTGCCAGTCTTATGCCTAGAGTTTCTCTGGAAGGTTTGGCTGTGCCTGACTTCTTCCCCTGAGCCTGAGAGTCTGTTCTTGCATTTTGGGGCGTGTGTAGCTTCTCAGTGGAAATTTAAAAATTCTGTACTTTCATCTCAGTGACAATGGAAAGGAAATTAAAACAAGAATGTTCCAGATCCTCAGGCTGGCCCCTTATGGTTCATGTTTGTGTTGGTGTTAATGATTATGTTTATACCAGAGGACAGTTAGGTATTCTCAACTGGTATGTGAACAAAGGGTTCATTCTTGCTCAAACAGAAAGTGCAGTCAGGGGAATTTCTCCCCACTTTGAGGTACTGACACTCTAAGCTAGGGCACCTGTACCTTGGGGTCAACACCCCACTAGCTTCACCGGCAAGCGTTGCACTGTCCTGTCTTTGCACATACCTGACTGCAACAATCAGTGGCAGTAAATATATGGCAGAGAACTTTCCCTCCCCAATTCCAGAAATAACTGGGTTGATAATCTTAGAGCCATATTTCAATACAACCTTACTTCAAATGAACAAGACCACTGCAAAGAGCTATCGAGCCACAGAAACCTCATTACCACAGGAATGACGGGGTTGTACCTGAGTGTGAGATGTTGAGCACCTCAAACTTACTAACACCATTTTGTAAAACAAACCTACGCAAATAGAGAACCTGTGTTAATGATATTGAAGTCAAAACACTGAAACAGGTAAAATGCAAAACTGGCCTTGAGGCTATATCTTTGTTAAACTCCAAATGCAAATGAACACTATCCCTAACACCAAACCAATTTGGAAATTTGGATTGATTAGATTTTCAGTGTTATTTATATTACATTTGCAAATGTGCCTTTTGACTTGTAGAAGACATGCATTAGGAATTTAAATCTATTGTTATACTTGAATACATTAAAATAACATTAAAATAAGTATAACTTAAGTGAACATTGAGGGTCTGTGAGAATTTTTTTCCTTTAAAAGGGATTCCTATAAAAATTTTTTTTAAAAAAATAGTTCTCTAAACTATCTAGTGACAGGATTTATACACGCTCGTGCACACATGCACACACACAGCACTCAAAGGTTCTGAGAAAAGGCCTAACAGGCAGTTTCGGTCTGGCCCAATTCTAACTCTGTGAGCTTGGGCAAGTTGCTCTGCCCCTCTCAGCCTCCATCTGTAAAATACATATGGGGCATGTTGACAGCTATTGTTAGTCCACGACAGCTGCCCAAGGAGAAGTCTGTGTGGGGCTGGGACACCAGGCTCTGGCGAGACGTGAGGCTAGGAAGGCCCCTCCACATTGGGGGCTTTTGCTTTGGGTCAGGAGAGATTTCTGTTTGGAGCCCGAGAGTCTGAGGACTCCATATTAGGGCAACCCATTGAGGCTTAGGTGAAGGCAGAACAGGGTCTGAGCCCTGGCTCCATCTGTGACTTGGGCAAGTCACTCAGATTTATTTTCCTTGTTTCTAAAAGGGTGATAATAATAGCACCAAGCTCACAGGGTGGTTTGGTTACAAGGTTACACAAAACGTTGCAAGCCAATTGTTTACTCAAGTCCTAGTACATTGTTATCCTGCCTTTGTGGAGCAGTATGAACTCCTGAGATGGGTGCTCTGTGTGGCCAGAGGTCAGCTCCAGGCTGATTCCCTCCACCAAGGCCTCTAGCTCTGCATGGACCCAGGTCCTGGTCTCTGGAGAGATCATGAGCTTTTGCATTTGAGGTGAGGGAGACTCAGAGCTAAGGCTGGGTCAGCAGGGTACAAGGATGTGGGAGAGGCTCATCTTTGCTCCCGTCCCTAGTGGAGACAGACCTCACTGAATCCGCAGCTGGTCACCCACTGATCTGACTCGTGTCGTCTTGTTGATACCCAGTCCCCACCTCTCTAAGAGGGTATTCACTGCCCTCCATAACTGTGCCCACACAAACTTTCTCCTCCAGCCAAGGTCGCTCTTTGATTTTCTTCCAAGTAAGACTCGGGTGGTAGCACCCTCATGCCTTTGCTCATGCTGCTTTTCCTTCTGTATCTCTGCCCTTTCCAAACCCTACCTGCCTTTTAAGGCTCACTTGTTGTATTTCCTCCTCAGTGGAGCCTTTCCTGAGCACTTCCATACTCTTCTCATCTCTGCAGCACTAGCCCTCCGGCCTCACTTGGCACCTTGTCATACCCAG